AGCGCATGGGCTCCTCACAGTACTCAGCCGTACTTCATGGATGGCAACACCTCCGTCAACGTAGATTTGGCGACCTACATGATGTTCTTATGCAGCAACAGGTGCAAGCACGTCAGGGTTTCGCGCCGCTAAACCTCACGGGCTTTGGTAATGCGATCCTCATGCTGAAATGGGCCTCCACGCCCCCGCTGTCCATCTCGTGGGAGCTCGTTTTCGTCTGCACGTGCAGACGACGCATATTAGTGATGCAATGTTTGGGAATTCGCATCGCTGTGCCCGTTCTGGATGGATCGTGTTAGAGTTCGGTCACCCCTGGAGTCCTACCTCCATTCGGTCAAGCTTCCCACGCCTGTCAGCAGCGTCGTGAAGGTCTCCTCTCCGTCTGAAGTGACGCCAGTGAAGTGTTGGCTCGCCCGCGCGGTGCAGCAGGCGCGTCCGCCATGCCCAGCTTGGTCGACGTGGGCGGCCAAGTCGGCTCGCATCATGGTGCGGCCGCAGTTCGCACTCCGACGACGTCTCTGCAATGTTGCTCGCGTTTCTCGGCGACGAGATTTTCAGCATTTAGGCCGGCTTCCCCTGTGTGATCTTCACCTGGCGGCGCGCGGTGGAGATGTGGAGCGTATCCCGATGAGTGGGCGCATGCCCCTCATGACCCCAACCCTGCCACAGCCCCGGCGTGACAATGCCCGAACTTCGGGTCGACGGTGGTTTTCCCCCCAGGGCCTTGACAGAAACGCGTGCCCGAACTGTCAGTGTCGACGACCCCGTCCGACCCCGCCCATCCCCCTTGACGGATGACGATATGGGGTCCTCGGGGAGGCCCGCCAGGACTTCGAGAACAGCTCCCTCGAGGCCCAAGGCCCCATCAGCTTCGCGGTTGAGGACAAATGCCCCGGTGCCTTATGGCGCGTGAATGGATTTTATCATTTAGCCAGGTGGCTCCGCACGATTTTCTAAAGCTCCGGATCGTTGGCGTGTTGTTGATACTTCGAAGGCTGCGATTGTTGGCTGGTATCGGCTTCCGTGCGACTATGCCATCCCGAAGTCCCTCAGGGCCAAAGAGGAACGCCACCTCAATGCCGATCACGCCCCCTAAATCTACCCTACGGTCAAGCTGACATGTTAGGACGGTGGTCATCTTCCCCCGAATCGGGGCGACTGCATGTAAGAAGCCTCGACGCAGTTGTTTTCGGAACATCTGCAGTTTCGTCAGGTTACCGTCGCGATCATTACACAGATCAAGCAGCCGTGCGTTCACCTTTCTCTCTGACAAGATGAACCCAGGGTGGTCTTTCTCATCCCTGGATTCCGCTGTGCCTAATCTGCTGGACCAGTATGAGCATCTCGTTTCGGCGCCTGCGTCGAGTCCATGCTTGTGCAGGGGCTGCTGGGCGCGTATGATCTGCCCAGGCCTCGTTGCTGGGGGCGCTGGTCAGGCGTGCGAGGCCATCGCAGTAGATAAGGCCCACGAGTGTCTTGATCGCTTGTTGGCCAAGCTTGATGCGAGTGAAAAATGAGGTAAGCGAAGATGCGTCGCGGTCGTGCGCACACAACGGTCACGTGTGTTATTCGGGGGCTCCACTTCACGACGCTTGTGGGGTCGCACGGCTTGGCATGCCCGTAGCATTCGGAGGGCCTTCGAAGGGTTTTTGGGGATAAGGCTGTTTTTGGTCAGTGGTTTGTTTGTTCAGCAGTTTTGTGGGATTCCAATTGGGGGGACCTCTAAGCGGGGCTGTCCTTCATGCTGTACTCAGTGACCTAGAGTTCCAGACTGATTCCCACTACCCAGGCACGCGGAACACTATCATGACGGGGCAATATGTTGACGTTGTTCTGGCCTCAAAGGTTTGTTGTAGCAGATGTCTTAAACGTCTGGCGTGGCAGGTCTATGGGTCCACGGTCAAGTTTGACTACACCGAACCCACCCAGCTAAATGTATCTACGCTACTGGTCCCTTTCCTGGAGGCCGTGCTTTTCTTCTCGCTCACGGGGGCCACCAGCTGGGTTATCTATGAAGAGGCGCATGGGTTCTCGGCGCGTATTTCAGACCTAGCCAAGCAGTCGCTACCTCCCTACTTAGGCGCTTTTCCACCTACCCCACGTAAACAACGTCGTGCTGAATTACGGGGTCGACTTAAACGATGGCAGCAGCTACGGGTTTGTGGTCTCAATCGGCTTCTTTTGATTTGTAGTGATGTACTTCCATTTCTACGACTAGGATACAATGGGCAACGCATTCACCGCATATGGTATGATATTCATTTTCCCTCCCAGCAGTTGGAAATACGCAAAGTAGCTGTTAAGCTGGTTCTTCAAATCTCCAGCACCCTGCGGGCCCCGCCGTCTACCCTGGTAGTTGTCTTTTCTCAGAGCCTTTGGACTCATCTACTCCTGCTCAGACAGACGACCTGGCCTCGCCCACGTCAGCAGCGAGTGCGATGTTCGGCTCTTGGCGCAAGAGCGGCGGCAAGGGTGGCGGCCGCCCTGGAGGCGGGCCATGCGCCCCCCGCTTCCAGCGGCCCCAGTGGTCCAAGGGCGGGAACTACACCAACTACGCCCGCGGCAATGCTGGCGGCGGTGCGCTGGGTGGTTTGTTTGGGATGCTCGGCCAGATGACCTCCTTGATCGACGACGTCGCGGCCCTGGGCGAGCTCGCGCGCGTGGGAAACGCTTTGGCCCAGACACAGCAGCAGCCTACTCGGCCAGCTCCGACGGCCGCGGGGGCCGCCCCGCCAGCCGCGCCGTCTGGCACGGCGCCCGGTGCTGGCGCACCGGGGGTCTCGATCAACTCGGAGCCCGCGTGCGAGCTCGTCGGTGCTCTCGCGGACGTGCTCCGCTCCAGTGCGCCTGGGGACTCACGGCTGCAGCAGACTGGATCGCCTGCGCGATCTCGTTGGCAACCCGTCCACGTCCAACGGGTCGGCCTCGGGCAATTGCCAGCTGGCTCAGAACCCCATCATCCAGCAGTTGCAGTCTTACATGGCGACGCTCCAGTCCACCGTCGACGCTCGCGGCCAGCAGGTCGGGGCGATCAACACGACACTGGCTAGCGCCGCGGAGGACTCGAGGGCGACCAGGGAGACGATGGAGAGGGGGATGGGCATGCCCCGCCGTCCGCCTTCCGCGCCACAGCGTGGCCCACCGCGTCCTCCTGGCCTCGCGCCGTCGCCTTTGTCGGCGCCTGGTGGTGGCCCTGCAGGGCTCGAAGCCGCTGCCGCGGCCGACGAGGGGGGCCCGGTGGTCGAGCCTCAGATGGCGGTGGCCGATCACGAGCATGCCCTTGCTATCTTGGGGGTTGGCGCTCAGCGGCAGAATATGACCCTGCTTAGCCAAGAGGTAGCCTCTGCCGAGGGCGCCGCGATGCCATTCAGTGAGTGGTGGGCGCAGGTAGCTCGCTGCAAGGGGATCTCTCGTGGCAGACCAAGCTCCAGGCGCTTGGCTTGCCAGCTGGCAACCAGGCCTCGACTTCGAGCTTCACGAAGATTGGGCAGCCCATCTTCTCGCGGGCCCAGCGCGACGGGACCTGGAGCGACACCGGCCTTCAGACGATCACGCTCTCATGATTGGCTGCGCAAGACGAGAGCCACTCGGTGCTGACTCTTTGTGGAACTACTGTGTGGCCTTTGCTCCGCGTGTTCTTATTGCTGATCCCTCCAGTCATCTTCATTTGGACTGCGTACCAGACTTTCATTGTCATCGGCTTTGTGCGGCTCTCGGCCGAAAACCTGCTCACCTTTGCCATCCAGCGCGTGTTATCCATCATTCCCCTCTTGGGGCTGAGAGTGGCATCGGCCTTCGTCTGGCCCGATGCGGCCCAGTGGTCAAGTGCACTCATGGCTCTGCTTGGTGGTTTCTCTCGGAGTGATTCTGATGATTCTCCTAAACCGATTCAGAGTGGCCAAGGAGACAGTGAGTCGTGGGCTTGGTTTGCTGCTATATCTCAGCCGCTCCTCGTTGGACTGTGCGCATGGATGGGCCAGTGACGGCCGCCACCTACGCCGATGACTGGCAAGCTGACGAGGTGACGGCCCTGCTGATTCGCCGCAGCAGGCCTGATTTGACAGTTTGTTTCTTTCCCTCCTCTGATCTGCTCGGTCGGGATGTGTGTGTATGCTTCTTCTCAACGTATGATTGGACCCGATTGCAGTTCTCACAGAGTTCAGACGTGTCCTTACTTTGCACACGCACATGCAAGCGTAGCGAACCGTTCCAGATTGCCTTTGGTGCACTCTGAGTGTCTGTGTCATTGTGCCCAGCTCGTGTTAGTGTAGGTAAAACCGCGCCGCAGTCGAGCCACTTTGATGTCAGACCGCAGCCCTGATTTGTTTTTTGTTTTCCTTCTCTCCTCCTCGTTTCTGCCTTTCTTTCCCTTGCTCGTCCTCGTTCCTTTCCGCTCTCCTCCTCTTCCTCTCGCCGCGTCCCGTTCCCCGCTCCCAAGACCTGAAAAGCAACGGGCTGTGTAGTATCAGTTATTATAAGTGTCAGTTGATTGCAGTGCCGCTTCTCACACCACAGACATTTCATGTTCAGACCTCCGAGCGGAGGTTTAGGAGCTCGCTCAAGCCGATTCGTCGGCGCATATACGTATAGGCTTCCGCTCGGTTGATCGGTGCCGCTCGTGCTGACAACGAGCCTCTGGAGCTCGCAGCTTCGGATATTATTGGTCGCAGTGCGTCTGGAGATCTGGAGTTCATGGCTCTGGATATTCTTAGTCGCTTCGCGTCTGCTGAGATCTGGAGTTCTTGGCTTTGGATATCCCTGGACGCTTCGCGTTCGCAGAGATCCTGACCTGTGAGGGCCTCCACGGGGACTCATAGTTGGACTCAAGTCAAGATTGGTTAACAACTTCTCATCACTAGTGTGTGTGTGTATGTGTGTGTGGGGGTGGGGTCGCGGCGCAACTCGGACTATGTTCGTTGCGGTCGACGCTCTCGGTATATAGGGCGAGGCTGAAGGAGGTAGTCTCGGCGCCCTGAGGCTCCTTGGGCCCGCAGAAGGCCATGCCAGAATACCATGCCGAGGACAAGGTGCTTCTATTATGCCATGCTGCCAGAGGGCCGATTCGACAATTCGCATCTGCCTGCAAACTGTCTGGTCGTGTGCGCCAGCAGCTCTAGCGCAGCACTTGCCTCTCGTAGACAGTGCGCTCCGCGAGCTGCTGGATGTGGGGCGCACGGCTAAGTTCACACCAGATGCGAGGTCAGGTGCGGTGGTAGCGTTAGGTAAGGAATGCGCCCACGAGGCTTCAGACCCTGGAGGGTTCCTTATCTGATGCGGGCGGCGGTGATATCCATGGCCAGCCACTCCACGATTAGAGTTCCGCCGGCTACCAGACCCTGGATTCCTTCTCCAACGGATCCTACTCCAATGCCCATCACCGCATCGTGCCCGAACTCGGCTTGTACTTCGGGCAGCAGCGCCCTCGCGCCAGATCCCTGTGCTGCACCTTGCGCGCCAGATCCGTGCCGCATGGCTCCCGAGGCCCGATGCTGGCCCCCTCGGTGGCGAAGGCCGGCCCCGATCGCCTGGCTGAAGAGCCGCGCGCAGGTGCGGTGTCCAACCCCGCGCCCCCGACGTGATGTTTTCCCCAATCATCTTGTGGTATTGGGTCCTTGTCTTGAAGACACAGCGCCCCGCGTTCTTCTTCCTCCTCCTCTCCTTCTCCTCCCCGTTCTCCTCCTCCCCCTCTCTTTCTCCCCCTCCCCCTCCATCCTCCATCTTGCTCTCAGTTGTGCTGATTAAATCCTCCACCTTGCTCCATTTCGGCACACCCCTCACACAACGTCGCCCCCCGCAGGTTTCGACCCATTCTCGGAGGCAGGCTTCTCATCCCGAGTAGTTTTTTTTGACGGCCCTGGGGCCCGGCGAGGGCCCTCAGGGCCGCCCAAACTGCCCTCACCCTCCCCGTCGTTTTTTGTTGTTTCCACGCGAGCATGTCTTGGCGCACAGGTTCTGAAGCGGACCGTCTCTGTCCCGCCGCCGACGGGAAAACTGTCCGGGCGCACAGGTTCGGCCAGTTCGATCGAGCGACGACCGCGAGCCTCTTCGTCGCCGAGTGCCGCCGCCCAGGGCTCGGGTGACCGCGCGCGCCAGGTGCGGCAGTTGGCCGTCGACCAGGGCCGCACGCCCCGCGCGATGCCTCCTCTCCTGGGTGCGACCGGATCGGGCACGGCGAGGACGAGGACGCAAACCAGTATCAGTTCCTCTCCATTCTGCGCAGGGTGCGCTGTCCGTGCCGCCGCGGGCGTGGTCTGCTCGAGGCGGCAGCTCGCCTGCCCAGCTGCGTCCGCCGTCGGTTTCGGACGGCGCTCGCCGCGGGACGCCGCACCAATCTTTTTGTCGCCGTGCCCGCGGCGGGCGTGCCAGTGCCCTCTCGCTGGTCGCCGCTCTCTTTGGCCAGCCCCGTCCCTGCCTGCTCCCGCCCCCAGAGGGTCCACCACGAGCTGGAGGCCAAGAGGTGCACGCAGGAAGCTGCCCCCCCCCCCTCCCCACGGGCTGCACCCAGCAGGCTGCACCTCTCCTGAGCTGTGCCTCGTGGGCTGGGCCTCGTGCCTCACAGGTTGCAGGGTCTTTGGGTCGCACCTCGTGGGCTTACACTCCAGAGGTTGCACCCAACAAGCTGTACCTCCGAAACTGCACGTCACAAGCATGACCTCATACTCCATCAGTTGCAAATCTTTTGCACCTTTGCAGGTTGACCCCCAGCATGCTGGGCATCATGGGTTGTACCCCTCGCTCATCCAGATGCGCTGTTTGACATCCGCGCGCCGCTCTGATTCGCTACTGCTTGACTCATGGCGCCTCATGCTTGTACAGGGAGGCTTGGATCTGGTGTGCCAGCCTGGCGGGCGTCTTCTGAGTCCTGGGCGGTTATGGCCAGGCTCGGCGTCGTTGTCCTGGCTTGCGTCCCCCCACTGGGTGTTCCTCTCCCCCTCCAAGCGGCAAGCTAGAACAAAATTACGTCTGAAATGGGTCAGCAAACTAGGGGACTAAACTATTGGGGCTGAGATGAGCGATGTGGCTTCCAGGCTGGAGCTAGTCCCAGAGGACGAAGATTTCTGACTCTTTGGATGGGTCTGGTCAGGTTTTGTGTTGGTGTGTGGCCAGCGTCCTCTTGAAGTGATTGACGCTTCGCGTATCCCCGCAAGCGTCCGTAGACATGATTGCCAGGTGAGCTGTCCTGCTCAGCAACGACGACGACGACACGTGTCAACCGTAAAGGCATTCGCGGATCTTTCGATCTTGGGCTTTCCTGGAGATTTCGAGGAGCCATTTTGTGGATTTTCGGGGCCCTCTTGTGGGTCTCTTGGGGCCCTCCTGGGAGCCCTCTAGGGAGCCTTGGGGGCCCTCTTTGGGCCATCTTGGAGGACATGGATCAAAGAAGTGGGTCGGCAGAGAGTTCGCAGACAGCGCAGTTATCACCGCTCGGGGTCGACGGGTAGCAGATCGGCAGCGATGGTTGGGTGCTCGAGCACGACGAGGGCGGCTGTGAGCGGAGTCGCTCCTGTGTGGGTCCTTCAGGTGGTCGGGTAGTCCTGCCGTTGCGCCCGGAGGTGGTGGTGCGCGGAAGCCGCCAACTTGCCAACCGCCTTGAGCAGCGCCTCCAGGTGCCCGTGCAGGGCACGGAAGCCCTTTGCGTCAATGCCATGGGCAGCTCCAAACAGATCTCGGACTGCCAGGCGGGCCCTGGTGTGCGGATCGCAGAGGGCCAGGATTGCTTCCCAGCCTGTAGGGCGAGCTGCCCGTTCGGGAACATCAGCACCCGTGGCTCACGTATCCGGAGCAGCATGAGTGCCAGACACCTAGAACGTATCGACACCCAAGCGTGGCCCCAGACCACCGATTTCTTGATTCTTTTCAGCGCGAGGTCTCCAGGAGCCCCCGGTCCTTTCCCCAAGGGCCGGTTTTGCATCCCGAGCCGTTTTGTGACGGCCCCAGGCGGCGACGACTGACGGAGACGACGAGTGACGAAGACGACGACTGACGGAGACGGCGAGTCAGGGCGATTGGACGGATCGTTTGGCGATTGACGGATCGTTGTCTCGTCAGGGCCTCCACAGGCCGACGATGGCCGAGAACTTGCGCCGTGCTGTTCTTTCGCGGCGCGAGCGGGCCTGGGCCTCGCGCCCCCCCCCCCCCCGCCGCGAGAGGTCCTGCTGATCCTCGATCCTCGAACCCCGATCGAGGGGGAGGGGGAGGAGGAGGGGGAGGAGGAGGGGGAGGAGGAGGAGCAAGAGGAGGAGGAGGAAGAGGAGGAGGAGGAGTAATAGTAATAGTAATAATAATAAGAGTAGTAATAATAGTAGTAGTAATAATAATACTACTAATTATAAGAAGAAGACTAAGAATAATAATAATAATAAGAAGAATATTAATAAGAAGAAGAAGACGACTCGGCATTGCGCGTGGTCTGTGTCGATCTCTGCCCGCGCGTGCACACGTGCCTGCAGAGCCCTACCTCGAATGATCATCGAACACGTGCGATGAGGTCGCGAGTAGCGCGCACCGTGCAGCCTGACGTGCGTGTTGGTACTCAGGCAGTCGCAGAGTAGAGGGTGGGAGCCCCTCTGGTCCCAGAGTGCCGAGCCCACGTCGCTGTGGGCGACGGGCGGGCATCCGAGGCACCCGCCCCGAGGAGGAACCGTCACTCCAGCAGAACGACGGACGGGAGGGCCACGACGCGGAAGAGAGGGGGGGGCGACGGGGCGAGCGGGCGAGGCCGAAGCTGCAGCGGAGGGGAGTGTTTGGTTCCCAGGGAGCCGAGATGCGGCCCAAGGACGAGGAGTGGGCGAGGGCTGCGGCGGCGGCGGCGGGGCCACGCCCGGAGGGCGGGGCCGCGGGCCGCGGGGCCGCGGCAGGCGGGCCGAGGCGTGCGCCTCGCCGTGCGGCGCGTGCTCCCCGGGTGGGAGCCGTGCGAGACGAGCGGCGCGGACGAGCGCCCGTGCCGCCCAGATCACCACCCACCAAACCACCCCAACCCAACCCGAAGGCTCAGATTTACCCTCGATTTCCAGTGGGGGGGGGGTCGGGAAACATTGAAAAAACACATGTGGAACCCTTACCCCCCCCAACCCGAAATTCGGGTCTTCGGGTTGGGTTGGGGTGGTCTGGTAGGTAGTCAGCGGGAGGGGGCACAGACGACTATAGCCGGAGTGCAGTATCCCCAAACAGGGTTTTCAGACCCACTGCGGTTTCCAAGGTCGATTGCGTGCCCGTGCAGTGCGGGCTGGCACGGCATGTCAAAACATGCCTCCTCCTCCTCCTCCTCCTCCTCCTCCTCCTCCACCTCCTCCACCTCCTCTTCATCCCCGTTCAGCACCCCGTTCAGCAAGCTGTTTGGGGAAAATGGGTTCCAAAGACCTCCGAGCTGGGTGCCTTACCTCGGGATCACCCCCACGCGAAGCGGCACGTTGGGAATGCGGGGGAGGGCGACGAGGCGGGAGACATACGGGCGGCCAGCCTCCGTAGGATAGCGAATCCAACCAGATCCCATCCAGTGTCGAAGAGAAGTACCAGACCAGCCACACCAATGGCCCCACGGGAGATCGCATTTGAAAAGAAGAGGAAACTGGGCAGCACGTACAAACAGATGTCGCGTATGTGGTATCAAGTCAAGGTATTTGTCCAGAGCATCACGTCCACATAAACGTCCAAGCCAGACGAGGGGTTGCGTCTGTGCAGCCTGAAGCCATTCGGTCTAGAAGTGTGCCAACACCATCACATCCTCTGGTGCATGATGTGCCCCTGGAAGCTAGTTGGCGAAAAACGAACATGGAAGTGCTGCCCAGTCTCAAGTATTGTGATGATGGTGAGCCTCCTGTTCATTCGTATGCATTCGTGCAAAATGAGCTGCTCTCCTGATCTCCCAAGGTGCTGGCATGCTGTCTACTTGCCGCGTCGACCCTTGCCCCCGCCCGTCTTGGTCTTGTCTATCAGCCGCTGCGCCATCGTCTCCAGGTGCCCCTGGGGGGCAGTGCCGAGCTTGAGCTTGCTTCCTTCGACCTGTTGTGCACATGCGATCTCGTCTCGTGTCTCTGGGCATTCTCCCGAGTACCGAGGATTTGGAAACGCCGAAAGCACTGGTTATAGTCACCGCAAGAAGAGACGCCTCGTTCCGTACTTTTTGTACTCTGCCTGCGTGCAGTAAAAGGGCGCTCATGCTCGTGAAAGTGCCGCCGCATGTCTGTCGGGAATAGGAGCCCGCATAGGGCCCGATGGTGGTGCAAAGGATGTCGAGAAGTAGGTTGTCCTAATAATCGTGAAGTCGATCCTGGCCCAGTCGTCGTATTCATTAGTATAGAAAATGCTCAACAAGGGAAAGTCCACGGGGATCAGATCATCGAACTCCTACGACCGTGTACGGGCCAACTCTAGGTCCTCGAGCACCGAAAGCGTGTTCTACCGCTGCTGGCGGAAAACCGGGGGGGCTACTGGGGGTTCCCAACCCGTCCCCCCCCCCCTCCCTCGAAAACCGGGGGGGGGTCACTACCGGTTCAATCCCCCCCCTCGCCGCCGGCAAACGATTCCCGCACCTCGGGACAGATGGACAGTGGTGGGGATACTGGGACAGTGGTGGGGACGGTGGTGGTGGGGACAGTGGTATGGGGACAGTGGGACAGTGGTGCGGACAGTGGTGGAGACGGTAGTGGTGGGGACAGTGGTGAGGGGACAGTGGTGGGGACAGTGGGACAGTAGTGGGGACGGTAGTGGTGGAAACAGTGGTGAAGGCGGTGGTGAGGATGAGTACAGTGGGGAGAGTGGTGGGGACAGTGGGACAGTGGTGGGGACAGTGGGGACAGTGTGACAGCACATTGGGACAGCGGCGTGGACAGTGGGGACAGTGAGACAGTGGTGGAAACACTGGGGACTGGGACAGTGGTGGGGACCGTGGGGAAAGTGGGGAGAGTGGGACCGTGGTGGGACAATGGTGGCGAGAGGGGGGACAGTGAGACCGGTAGTGACCCCCTCCGGTTTTCTGGAAGGGGGACTGGTGGTGCCCCCCCCCGGTTTTCCAGAGGGGGGGGGGGACGGGGGGTTCGAAATGGTAGTGACCCCCCCCTGGTTTTCAGGGAAGGGGGGGTTCGAGCCGGTAGTGACCCCCCGTTTTCCGGAGGGGAGGGGGGTTAGGGGTTCCAGCAGAGGGGGGGGGGGTGATTTTCGAAGGGGGCGGGATCCCCGGGTTCCGGAGGAAGAGGAGGGGGAATTTTCCACAGAAAAGCGGCGGTGGATCACGCTCTCTCCGAGCACCTGACGAGCCCACGGGTTGGCCCTCGGGTGGATCGTCCAATCGTCGTGCATGCTGGGGGTCCCATTTAGGCATCCTGGGATACACGCTCGTATCTGTCTGTGTGCGCTAGGGTATTTAATCCAAGACTGGTACCATTGGAGGCGGCGGAGGCGAAACTCATCAGCTAGAGGTAAGATCTGCCAGTATGCCCTGACCCGCTGAGAGCTCCAACGCCAGGTCTCCCCATCGTGGTCCTCGGTACCCCTGATCCCAAGGCCACTACGCACCGCCCTCATCACAATCTTGTCGCCCTCCACCGTGTAGCTGCGATCAGGAACCTTGCTTTCCATCCATGACAGGAGCACCCCCTGGGCATACGAGAGGATAGCCATACGTTTGACGCTGCGAGCGGCCTCCTTTCATAAGGAAGTGTCATATGATGCCGAGCCCCGTGCGACCAGCCTGCAGCCTTTTTCCGTTCTCAATCTGCAGAGAACCTCGCATCGTCAGCCAGCCGCCGAGGATGCGCATGAAACGGCCGAGCCGGCCCGAGAGCTGCGACGTGCCAGAGAACGGGAGCCGCCGCTGTGCAAGATTGTCTTTCCCCAAGAGCCTGGCCAAGGTGACGCGCTTGCCCTCGTTGAGCCCAACCCCGATGCAGTCCAGGGAGGCTGCCACCTTACTGCTACTTACCTGTGCGAGTGCCGTGAGAAGTCGTGCGTCCCCTCCTCCTCCATGCGGTTCGGGTCCGCTCCCAGGTAGGACGATGTTGGTGATGTCATCTGCGTAGAGTGTGATCCCCGTGTCCGTGCTCGTGCCATCGACCTCCGTGGTCTGCGCGTAGGTGTTGGAGCTAGTGCGTGCCCTCCAGCTGAGAAACGAATCCAGGCCCTTCAGGTAGAAGTACGGGAAGCCCCTCGCGGGGTTAGGGTGTCCCATGAGCTCTCCAGAGGGGCATCGGGCGCTCGGGGCCATGACCTGCATCGCCTTCTGCATCGTGCGAGCGTGCTGGGATCGAACGTCCTCAGGAAGATAGAGGGCCTCCAGGGTCTCCAGGATCGCGTCCCGTTTCGTGCTAGCGAAGGCGTTCGTGGCGTCCTCGTTGATTATCGCGTGAGAGAGGCCCAGCTTCTGACGTCTCCATGACGTGCAGGCCTGGACAGCGACGGCGCCGTCACGTCGACGTCGCCGAGCGAGACCATGACAAACATATGGCAGCGCCTCCCTCTGGAAGCGTGCGCGATGCCAAACGGGTCCTGGTCCGTCCCTCGTTTCTTTCGGCCCCTCTTCGGGCCCCTCGCTCGTCGTTTCGGCGCCACGGGCAGGAGTGTTCGGCAGACGATCACCCGCGCGCAAATCAAAAAAAAAAGCCAAAGATGGACATTCCAGGCCTTGCCCATGGGGCAAAAGAGGTGGATCCAGCGCTGGCCCAGCGGGCCCAGCTTGCCGTTGCCCTTGTCGAGCCCGACGATGTGAGACATGTCGAAGAGGAGCGGGGTCGACCCTGTCCTCCTGAAGGAGGCGACGATGTCGAGCAGAAAGTCTAGGCCGTGGATGGGGAAAGAAGATGAGCCCAGACCCCCGCGCTGGAATTTCTCCCACTGCGCGGGGTTCAGCAGAATGAGCCACAACTCAGACGGCATGCTCCACTCAGGCGTAGCTCTCCTCTTTGGAGCGCGCCGAAGCTCCCGAACGATCCCCGCCATGTCGGTGTCGGCCGCGTCGAGATCGACGAGCTGCATCGTGCCATATCTCTGGCGGTCGGTCCTGTGGGCCTCCTCGTCCAGGAACGCGCGGTCGAACCTCTCCGCCAGCTCCAGCTGGAGGTCGCAGTCCACCGCCGAGAGGCCTCCCGCCCGCGCAGGACGCCGAAGAAAGTCCGCGATGTCCGGAGGCTCGCAATTCCCATCCCGAGCTTTGATTTTTTTGCGATGGCGGGCCCTCGCCCCTTTCGCGCCAGCCGTCGTGTAAGGGTCTGCACCGCGTAGTGATCGTGCTCCTTCAAGCAGCATTGAGCTCGCTCAGAAGGGCGTCGGTCCGTGCTTTGGTAATCTGTCGAGAAAGCTGCCTCAGACGAAAGGTGGTGCGAGCCAGCTCCAACTCAACCTCCTGTCGATCGGCCGACTCACGTCCGATGTGTTGCCCCCGAATGTGACGACGACGTGTGAGAGTCCACGAGCGTAGCTTCTCGATGTCCGATTTCTCCTTCTCCTCAGGCGAGGGCCTCTGAAATTCGGCCATGGCCGCTTCCCGAAGAAGGACTGAGATCGAGCTCCGAAGCTCGTCGGTCGTGGGGCGCGAGCAGAGGATCCGCTCCATCGAGTTCGTGCAACCAGTGCCCCGGCGCAGGATTCGCATCAGCCCGTCGAAGTTCCAGCACCGTCGGGGCGAAGACGTAGCTTCGAAGCGGTAGGCGCACTCTAGGTAGACCGGCCTGTGGCCCCGATCGTCGAGCGTGCTCGCTGGCGTGCACGCAGGACCCGGCAACCGCGAACGTGGGGCCGAAGACCAGCAGGCGCGTGCAGGAGGTCGATCCTGGAGGCGTGGCCGAGGGGGCCGTGGAAGGTAGGGCCTGCGGGGCAGAAGGTGCTGACAGCGCAGAGGGCCGTGTCCCGCAGGGCCTGGTGCCGGGGCTCGCCAGCGAACTCCTCCAGCTCCGCCCCACGGGGGCCCACGCAGTCGTCCGAGTCGCCCTCCCACGGCGGCGAGGCCGCGTGGGCCGACGGGCCCCCCCTGGGGGGGCCACTGGCCCCTCACCGTCCAGCGTGTCGTCGGCGCAGTACCCGAGGTGGCCATTGAGGTCGACTCCGACGAAGGGTGTACAACGGCAACCCACACTGTTCAACATGCTCCGGATCCACGAGCAAAGGCCCCGGACCGTCTTGCGGAAGTGGGGTCGACCACCGCGCAACGAAGGCATCGTCGGGAAGTAGAGAACCATACGAAGTACGTCCGATGTCTGGGATTTGATGCGTGCAGCTCCTCCTCGTCCGCTTAGGCACCCAGGAGGCGTGAAAATCTTGCGAATGAAATTCCGAAGGAAACGCCTCTGATGAAGGAAGATCGGCACTCCGCAGCTCTCGTTCGAAGCCCGTGTCCAGCCGAAACTCAGCTTCCAATGGTAAGCATGTAGGAAGAGTGAGTGTGCAACCTCGCCTTGACGGCGCGAGGTACCTGGTAGCATGATCGCCCCGATATTCTTGAATTCAGTCGAGACCTCCGCGGCTTTGGTGGCCCCTGTCATGTACATAGGATTGTAAGCGCATGTCCGAATCGTGAAACTGTTGCCTGCACCCGCTTGGGAGTGGGCCCCCTCCATCTCCGCGGCGTCCACGACGCCCAGCTGCACCAGGGAGACGCTCACGGCGGGCCCACCCCCTCTCTCATGGGCAGCGTGAACCCTCCGAGGGAGAAGACATGCCGCTGAACACATGACTACGTGTGTGTGTGTGTGTGTGTGTGTGTGTGTTTGTGTGTGTGGGGTGTACTGAAGTTCCGCGGGAAAATGGAAGTGCGCAGAGCCGCAGAAGCGGCTGGAGTAGTAGTAGTAGTAGTAGTAGTAGTAGTAGTAGTAGTAGTAGTAGTAGTAGTAGTAGTAGTAGTAGTAGTAGTAGTAGTAGTAGTAGTAGTAGTCGTAGGAGGAGGAGGAGGAGGAGGAAGAGGAGGAGGAGGAGGAGGAGGATCCCCGAGGAGGAAGAGGAGGAGGAGGTTGAGCTGGAGGAGAAGGAGTTGGAGGAGTTGGAGGAGGTGGAGGTGGAGGAGATGAGGAGTACTACTAATAGTAATAATACTAATACTAATACTAATACTAATAATAATAATACTAATAATAATAAGAAGAATAAGAATAAGAATAATAACGCTAATAATAATAACAATAAGAATAATAATAGTAACAATGCTACGACTACGAATCAGAAGAAGACAAAACATGGTAATAATAACAAGAAGAAAGGAGGCGGTGGAGAAGGAGGAGGACCCTCGACCTCGATCGACCAGGAGGATCGAGCATCTTCGGCCTCGGCCCTCGATCCAGGAGGGGTGCCCCGAAGGCTGCCCCGCAGAGCCCTCTCCCTGTCACACCGCACCTCCCCCGCGGGCTCGCCAGGCTTCGTCCTGCCGGCGAGGGCCGGCTGAGGCCCTCGCCCCACGGGGTCGCGCACCGGCCCCGCAGGCCCGGAGGCCCTGCCACGCCGACGCCCGCCGCGCCGCGCAGACCTCCAGCGTGTCGAAGTCGGTGGTCCAAAGAGGTGGCCCCGAGGGATGGGGTCGTGAGGACGAGGTGCCTCAAAAGCAGCGTAAATCCATCTGCCCCTGGATCCCTTCCTGTCCTCTGGGCCCCCATCCCTCAGGGCCCCCTCCTCGAGCCGCCGATTGAAAGACCAGGGCCGAGGCTTCTCGTCGTTTCTGGGGCCTCCCGGGTCCGAGGCTGGAGCTGTTGCCCCTGCCGTCCTTCCTGGGCCTCGGGGGGGCTCCTCGCCCCCACGGCTGGATCCGCCTCGAGGTGCTGGCCGGCAGGCTCCCAAGAGCAGGTCTGGGGATCGACGCTTGTCCCCTCCTCCTCCTCCTCCTCCTCCTCCTCCTCCTCCTCCTCCTCCGTGGTCTGGCATGAGCGCTCAGACATCTACTCTGAGTTTCCGAACAAGCGTGGGGGGGGGTACCCCCCCCGACGGGGGTCAACCTCGCCTCGTCGTCGCGCCGCGACGGGGGTCGGAGCGCCTTCGGCGCGCGGTGGCTGCCCGCGACGGGGATCGGTGTGGGGCTGTCGGCGGGGGTGACGCCCCCCCCCCCCCCCGACGCTTACAAAGAAACTCGGAGCACGGTCAGGAACTTTGGTTTAGCGTGTCGCTCCGCCGGTTCTGGCCCACCACGTTTCGGTGCGACGCGCTGTCCACGCCCCAGTCGTCAACGCCCGGAGCTGTTCCCAGCCTCGCGCACCGCGGAGAGGAGCGACGCGGCGTCCGCTTGCAGGACGCAGCGTGTCGCTGGGGCCGCCGCGGCGACACGCTGTGCAGAAGCTCCCGGCCGCGACGTGCGGACCAATCAAACGGCCGAGGCTTCTCGTCTCCCTCCGCTTCCGCTCCTCTCCCCCCCGCCGCTCGCATCGCCTCCTCCCCCTCTGCGGCTCCTCGGCCTCTGCCCTGCCCCACCTCGGGGCGGCCGGTCTCGCGGGGAGACGGGGTTTCGGGAGCCTTGAGATGGGGGTCGATGCAAACGGGGGGTCAGTCGGAGCGCCAGATCTTGCAGGATCCTGCAGGGCCAGGGTCTCATTGACCCGGGCTTGGGTGCAGGATCCTGCAGGATCTTGCAGGATCCTGCAAGGCCTGACTGACCCAAGTTTGGATTGACCCCGGTCAGTAGAGATCCCCGAGGGTTGCCTCATCCATCCTCGTCCCGAGCTCTTCTTCGGCCACGCGCAGAGGGGGGTAGGGGGAGGGGGGAAGGCTTCTGAGAAGCAGCCCTGCCTCTTAGAAGGCGCGGGCCTCGTCTATAGATGTAAGTCTGGCGCCTTCCAAGAAACAGCCTCCTTTTACGGAGCCTTCTTCCCTCCCCCTCCCCCTTGTGCGCGCCGCCACCTTCTGCGCCCAGCCGCCCTGGCCCCGAAGCGGGGTGCACTGACCACTGTTTTTTCCTCGCGCCCTGTGTGGGTCCCTCCTCGTGCGAGCGGGCAGCTTTTGACTCACGGTTGAAGCGTTTGTTCCGGAATAGTCCCAGGAGGCGCCAGACCCTGGAGGATTCCTTGTCCACTGAGGGCGGCGGCGATATCTATGACCGGTCCACGATTGGAGTTCCACCGGCTTCCAGACCCTGGATTCCTTACCAAAGGTTTCTTTATCCAACGCCCACACGGCAGCTTCGGCCTCGGAGGGCCCTCGCCGGGCCCCGGGACCGTCGAAGACCGACTCGGGAGGAAAGGCCAGCCCTGGAGGAGGAGGAGGAGGAGGAGGAGGAGGAGGAGGAGGAGGAGGAGGAGGGAGGAGGAGGAGGAGGAGGAGGAGGAGGAGGAGGAGGAGGAGGAGGAGGAGAGGCGGGGCGGGGCGGCCACGGGGCGCACACAGCAGATTATTCGTGTGCACCCCCCGGATCCTGTCCCGCCCCGCCCGCCTCTCGCCGGCCTCCTCCCCCTCCTCCTCCTCCTCCGCCTCTCGCCTCCCTCCTCCTCCTCCTCCTCCTCCCTCCTCCTCCTCCTCCCTTCCTCCTCCCACTCCTCCTCCTCCTCCTCCTCCTCCCCTCCTCCTCCTCCTCCTCCTCCTCCTCCTCCTCCCGCCTCCGGGCTGCTGCGCCTCTCCTCTCCCTCCGCCTCCCCGTCGCCGCCTCCGCCAACTCTGCCGTCTCGGAGTCCGCCGGGCGCGCCCGCGAGCGAGCCTGCTGTGCGAAGCAGACCAGCTCCGAGCAGCCACGGTCGCAGGGAGGCACGGGCGAGAGGAAGGCACAGGCGGCTTGGCCCTGGGTCAAGTCGGGCATGTCCCTCTACAGGAGGAGTCGTCAAAAAATCGTACGGGGACGATGGCTTGGGGCTTTTCTCGATTATTTCATCGCTTTGCTCATTCCGCCGGCCCTGGAGCGCTATTTGGGGCCTCTTGGGGCCGTCTTGGGGGCTTCTTGGGGGCTTCTTGGGAGCGTCTTGGGGCTCCTTGGCGGCGTATTGGGCTCCCCTGGGGCCTCTTGGGGGGCTCTTGGGAGCCCCTTGGGGCGGGCGATTGCTTGGGGTATTTTTCGACTGTTTCCTCACCACCCACCAAACCACCCCAGCCCAACCCGAAGGTTCAGATTTACCCTCGATTTCTAGTTGGGGGGGGTCGGGAAACCTCGAAAAAACACGCGTGGAACCCTTACCCCCCCCAACCCGAAAATCGGGTCTTCGGGTTGGGTTGGGGTGGTCTGGTAGGTAGTCATTTCCCATGTCTCATCGAAAAAGCAGCCCGTAGGGGGACGCGCCCGACCTAAGCCCAGGGCCTCCACCGCTGGCCGCGGATGCGCCGCTGCCGCGCGCGCGGGCCCAGATCAGGAGAGGAAAAAACACACAGACACAATTAATCGGCGATTCCCAGGAAAATATGGGAAAATATGGGAAGTGGGGGGAAGACAAAAAACCCAGAAAATATAGGAAAATATGGGGAATCATTTTATTTGTGTGTATTTATTTGTGTGTCCTGGGGCCCCTTCACCAGAGCTCCTGGGCCAGGGGCCCAGGCTCGCCCTCTCTCGGGCCGGGAGTCCGAGGCGGGAAATTATCAGCACGGCCACCGCCTGGAGGGTCAGTCTGCGGAGCCTCGGCGGGCGGTGGACATGGACATGTTCGGGCCCCCGGGGGCCTATATATATATATATATATATATATATATATATATATATATATATATATATATGTATATATATATATATATATATATATATATATATACTGTATACATATATATATATATATATATATATATATGTATATATATATATATATATATATATATATATATATATATATATATCCATATCCACCGCCCGCTGGGGCACCAGGGCGTCGGTTCCCAGGCGGTGGATGTGGAAAACTCACCGCCTCGCAATGGAAGAATCCAGGCGGGAGGTTTTCCTGGATTTTCGGTCTCTGGGGGCCCTCCGGGCCTCGAGAGCGTCAAACAACAGGTGGCGCGTGCTCTGGCTCTGCTGCGGTTTTCCTGGATCTTCGGTCTCTGGGGGCCCTTACTGGGCCTCGGGAGCGTCACAAGACGATTCAGGATGAGAAACCCGTCCCGGGGAATGGGTCGAGACCTCCTGGGGGCCCCGTGTTCTGGGCTCGGCCAGCCACCTCGTTTTTGTTGGCGGGCCAGGGGGCCAGATCCCCCCCACCCCTTCCCGGACCTCTGATGTTTTGTTTGTTCGGTGCGGGACACCGAGGCCGAATGCGTTGGAGGTCTGGGCCTGCCGAAATAGATGTAACCGAAGACGTGCCCGACGTTGTGGCCGAATCTGTCGTCTGACCCAGATTGTGACCCAGATTGAAAATCCGATTGGCATCAATCACACATGTTGGCCGCACCCAGGCGCGGTTGGACAATTCCTGGCGCCAGTTTGGGCCACGTTCGGGCAGATTCTCGGGCACAGCCTCGGCCACAGCCACCTGCCTGAAAGAGACGAAGCTGTCTGAAACTTGCCCCTGGCTGCCCTTGCGGCTCAGGAGCCAGGCCGCTGCGCTCCCATACCCCCGGCGTCATGATCTTTTCATGACGTCGACCCCCAGAGATCTGGACCCCTTCCCCGGGACCGGTTTTTCGTCCCGAGTCGTTCCCTGAAGGTCCCGCGGCCCGGTGAGGGCCCCCAGGGGCCGAAAACAGCAAAAACCCTCCCGTCATGATTTTCTCATGGCCCGAGGGGTTCTGGGCTGCAGGCCCCGCAGGCCCCATGACGCATGCTCGCCCGCAGGGCGTCTGCCCTGCCGGTGGTGCCCCGCGGCCTCTGGGGCTGCCGCGGCGCGGGGCCCGCGCCCGGCGGGCTGGCTGCTGGATGGGAGCGGCTCAACGAGCTGGCGGCGCGCGGCGACGTCCCAGGCGCCAGCCGGGGCGCGTCTGGCCTGCGACCGCGCGCGAACTCCCCAACCCCCTCGCGCTGTGAAAGAATACATCTAACAATTTCCGACGGGAGGTTTTCGCTATTTTCGGGTTCTGGGGGCCCTCACTGGGCCTCGGGACCGTCAAGGGACGACTCAGGATGAGACACCGATCCCGGGGAAGGGGTCCAGACCTCTGGCGGTCGACGTTAGGAAAAATCACGACGTCGGAGGTCTGGGCTCTACGGTATCGGATATCGGATGCACCCGCTGGGGCTCACATAGCGGCCGGCCCCCCCCCGAATCCTGAACCCTGGCAGGCGCTTTGCAAGGCCTGACATGCAGGGGTCGGGCTCACGTGTGGTTGCCTGCCCGCCCGACTGCCGCGCCCTCCGGGGGGGGTTCTGCTGGACCGCAGGCTTCCGGGTGAACCTGTTTCGGCAGGGTGGCGGTGGAAGGTTTCCCCGAAGGGCTTAGGCGACCCGTCCTCCTCATCCTCCTCCGCCTCCTCCTCCTCCTCCTTCTCCTCCTCCTCCTCCCTCCTTCTCCTCCTCCTCCATCTCCTCCTCCCCCTCCCCCTCCTCCTCCACCTCCTCCTCCTCCTCCTCCCCCTCCTCGGGTCGCCTACGGCCCCGGGGGAAACCGTGCAGGTGGCGGGGTGTCTCGGGTTCCAAGGGGCGTCTGGTCTGGCCGTCGGGGCGGCCAGGGCAAAGAGCCCAGCGGTCCCTGCGAGGCCGCCTGGGCTCACGGGTCGCCTGTGCCCACGCGGCGTTCTGTCCTGTCTCTTGTAAGGGGCGCTCGAGTTTTGGACCCCTGGCCGATTCAACATGACTTTTCTTAGGGCGTTCCGCACCTTCTCTGTTGAGGTCGGGGTCTTTGGCTGAGCGTGTCGTTCCGCCCGTTCTGGCCCACCACGCTTCGGCGCGACACGCTATCCACGCCCCCGTCACCAGGTGTTAACGTCTCGAGTTTTTCCCAGCCTCCCGCCCCGCGGAGCGGAGCGACACGCTTTCCGCTCGCAGAGGATAGCGGATAGCGTTTCGCTGGGGCCGCGGGGCGACACGCTAAGCCAAAGTTCCGGACCGTAAGGCGTGCTGTTCCTTTCCTGTTAAACGCCATGCTGCATGCTTTGCTGCCTGGCCGTGTAAGCTGTACAAGTTGCGCGTGGTGCTGTGCGCTGTGTTTACATGGCCGCCAACGGATTCTCGCCGCGAGTCTGGGATGTGTGTGCCCTCCCTGCCTCCGCAGAGAACCATTGAACATCGCAGGTGGGACGTGCATGCCAACACATTCAAAGTCAAGGGTTGTGACCAGTCCATCGACTGAGTCTCCGTCGCAGGATGCTGGCCGTCAGAGTGCGTGCCCACGTCGCTCACCCGACGGCCCGGCCGCCAGGGACTTCCAGGCCCCGGGCCGACGTCGCCGATGCATCGGCAATACATCGGCGATGCACTGGTGATGAACTCCGACTCAATCTACTCGGACTCCATTTGGGAGGCCTTCAGCTTCTGAGGGCCGTGGCACACAGACATACACAGACGCACACACAGGCACACACACACAGACACACACACACACAGACACACACACAAACACACACGCAGACACACACACAGCCACACACAGACACACACACAGACACACACACACACAGACACACTCACACAGACACACACACAGAGACACACACACATACACACAGACACACACAGACGCACACAGACACACACAGACACAGACACAGACACACACACGGACACACAGAGACACACACACACAAACACACAGACAGACAGACTCACACAGACACACAGACACAGACACACACAGACACACACAGACACGCTCAGACACACATACAGACACACACAGACACACACAGACACACACAGAGACACACAGACGCACACAGACACACACACAGACTGAAACACACAGACGCACACAGACACACACATACACGCAGGCACACACAGACACACACACACACAGTCACGCACACAGGCACACACAGACACACACACAGACACACACAGACACACAGACACGCACAGGCACACACGCACAGACACACACAGGCACACACACAGACACACAGAGACACACACACACACAGTCACACACAGATACACACAGACGCACACAGACACACACAGACACACACACACACTGACACACACTGACACACAGACACACACACACAGGCACACACACACAGACACGCACACAGACGCACAAACACACACACACGCACACACACATACACAAACGCACACCCAGGGGATGCAGTGCGGCCGTTGCGCCCGTCTTGGCGGAGGCCGTTCCTCACCCGTGCTGGCTCGGCAGGCGGGCGGCCGAGCCTAGTCGAGACGACCGTGCGGCGTAGCAAAGCACCAACACGCACCAGACACACACACACACACACGCACACACAAACACACACACACCCACACCCCGCACATACACCCATCTACCCACACACTCGCACCCACACACACACAAACGTTTTGCGTCGGCGGCTGGGTAGAGGGTGACATACACACAAACACACACTCTTTTCACATTCACACACGCACGCACACGCACACGCACAGGCACACGCACACGCACACGCACGCGCACACGTACACGATCACGCACACGCACACGCACACGCTCTCGAACACGCACACGCACACGCACACGCACACACACACACACACACACGCACAGGAACACGTACAGGCACACGCACACGAACACGCGCACGCATACGCACAGACACGCACAAGCACACGCGCACGCACACGCACACGCACACGCACACGCACACGCAAATGCACACGCACACGCGCACGCACGCGCACACACACACACACACGCACACGCGCACGCACTCGCACACACGAGCATACGCACACACACACACACCCACACACGCACACGCACACGCACACGCGCACGCACGCCCACGCCCACGCCCACGCACACGCACACGCACACGCACACGCACACAGCCACAGACACACAGGCACAGGCACAGTCATCGGCACAGACACAGACTCAGACTCAGACACAGACGCAGACACACACACACAGACACTTTTTGGCGTCGTGGCACTGCGCGCAGCGACAGGGCGTAGCAAGGTCGGAGAGGCGGGCGCGTGCGCGCGCGTCGAACGAGACGCGCTGGCAGCCGGCCATAAGTCGTCCAGGCATGGATGACGGGGTCGGACGAGGTAGGCAGATAGCCGACTGGCATGGAAACGGCATGGCCGAGAAGGTAAGGGGGCGCAACGGAGGACATCACAGCGACACACACATACACATACGCACCGAGGGTTCGGGTGGCTTCTGGTGGTGAGGATGTGGATGCGAAGGTGGGCCCACGAGGTCGCTCGCGCTCGGAGGGGGCAGGGAGGGCTTTTTCCTGGGAGGGCCGTCTTGGAGCTGCCATGAACCCAGAGGACAGCGTCGGGCATGCTTCGACGCCCGAGCTTCCAGAGCAGAGGAGGACCAAGCAAACTCTTGGCAGAAGTCCAGCCCTGCTCATGGTGTCCAGGAGTTGAGCCCTTCAAGCGTGTTTGTGCCGACCCGGCGCCGTTGTCGGCAGCAGCTCAAGCCCCAGAAGGCCACTGCGGGTCGCTTGCTGCCACTAAGTCCAGAGGCTCTCCTGGATGCCTGCCGCATGGAAGCGTGACCGCCGTCCCTGGACGGTCGGGATGCGTGAGCAGATCGGCCTGCGCCCCCCTCTCCCGGACATCCGGCGCTCCCATTTTTTTCGATGCGCGGACCCCCAGAGGTCGGGACCGCTTCCCCAGAGCCGGCTGCTCCTCCCGCGCCGCTTCTCGACGGCCCCGGGGCCCGCTAAGGGCCCCCTCGGAGGTCGACGCCAGACCCCCGCACGGGCCGCATCGATGCTTTTGGAGCCTCGGATCTCCGGGCTGGCAGGCGCAGAGGCCGTTTTCTCGTCGATCATCGGCGAGGTCTCCCCCTCCAAGCGGACCATGGCCTTCAACACCATTCGGGCCGGGCAGCGCAGGGCGCTCGCCCCCCCCCCCCCGGGGGCCGCGCCGGGCGACCCCCTCTTCGAGCCCCGTCGCCTCAGCCATGCTCGCGTCGGAGAAGTTCGCGGCGCGACCCTGCCGTGCCCCAAGCCCAGGCGCGCTCGCGTCGTGACAAGGAGTCACGACGGGAGTTGCTTTTGGCCGTGTTCGGCCTCTGGGGGTCCTCGCCTGGCCCCGGGGCCGTCCAAGAACGTCTCTGGATGAAAAGGCGCCCCCACAGAAAGGTTCGGGGCTTGCGGGGGCCCCGTATGGAAGCAATCAGGATGTCGCAGGTCTGGGAGCACGGTGCCTGCAAGAGGGGATCCTCACAGTCATGGCGCCGACGGCAGGGCCACCTTGGGCTCAGGGGTCAGGAGGGCCTCCGGTGTTCGGGCCGCTCCTTGGGCTCGCGTCGAAGAGCCTATGGGGTGGCCAGGAAAGCCCCATCGCTCCTCCTTCAGCGCTCCGTACACCTGCACGATGGCTGTGCCTGGGCTCCGGGGAAAAAACCCGCCCCGCGTGGCCGCCACGTGGCCCCTCCGTTACCGCGTGGCCTGCGTGGCCAGACGATGTCGCGTGGCCTGCTGCGGTCTCCCGTTGGTCTCCCGTTGCTGCTCGGCCTCCCACGGCGTGGCCTGCGAATGGCTGGAGACTGTCCTCAACTCTCCTGCGCTGGGTTCTCGTTTCGAGTAGAGCACTGCGGTCGACACCTCCCTTCTCACCCCGCCTCCCTTCTCCCATCCCCTCTCCAACCTGCCTGCCCGGGGGGGGGGGGGGAGGGCTGCGGGAGGCGTGTTCCAACTCGGTCCCGGGAGGTTTTCCTGCCTCGGGGCGCGCTCCGGCCTCGCCTCGAGGGCGTTCTAGCCCACGGCCCGAATGGCCGCGCCGGAGGCCCGACGCGTGGCGCGGAGGCCGCCTGCCTGCTGCCCGGCCTCCTGCCCTGCCTGCTGCCCTGCCTCCCACCTGCCTGCCGATGCCTGGTTCCTGACGGCTGGAGGGAGCGTCGTTCGTACAGTCAGCGCGCACAGTGAGGACGCGCGCCTTTTCTGGGGTACCCCTGTGTCCTGGCCGCTGCGGCCCGTCCTTTGCCGCTTCCCCTGGCCAGCCTCTCAGGCCGCCGCCCAACAAATCCCAACCTCGGCCTCCAAGGGTCTCGCGTCCTTACCTCAGGAGGAAAAGAAACACACAGACACAATTAATCCTCGA